CAAATATACTAATTTAACATTATGTAACATTAAGCACAATCAAGCATTGATAGTTGGTATCATTAATGTTATAGTTTTCATTTATATAAGAAATTGTTACACTGGGAATTTTTGTTTATTTTTTTATAAAATATAACGGAAATGCATTAATAAAAATTTTTATAGGTAAAATAAAAAAAATCATGATACTAAGGATTGACGAAAGTGTTCTACGTCAAATTTACAATCTGGTACTTATATAAACTCAAAATCTTCTTTTATTCTAATTTTATTTTTATCAAAATTACTAAAACTACTTATATAAATTTTTATATTATGAAAATTTTTTAGCTCGAATAATTTTTACTTTTTATCATCTATTTTTTATGATTATTAATATTTGAAAGTAACCAATTCAATAATTTCATATAGTAATATATTTCAATAGTAATTCAATAATTTTTTACAATTATTATCATTAACAATTTTATTATATTAGAATATTCTTTTTCCTGATATTGTTATACATTTGATATGCTTAAAAATAGATATGAACATGAAATTTTCAAATACTTTCTACTAGTAGATTTTAGTAGAAGTTTGTTTATATGAACTTGTCCGAGGATAAATACTATAATTGAAGTTTATATATCCATTGATTTTCCTCTTTATTAGCAATTTAGAGTTTATATAATAGTTATATATAGGAATTCAAGTTCAAATAAGTGAATTCGAACAGCAAGAGTTCATTTAATTATTAACTGAAATTATTAATTAAAATTTGGTTAAAATTGTTGGAATATATATCGATGAATGTACGATTGTCTTTTGTCATAAACTAAACAAGTGAACTCCTTTTTCTTATTAAATAATTAAATAAACTCTGACAAAAATAAAGGGAATTCATATATTACAACGTATATCTTATCTTGTATTTATTATCTTATTATATAAATGAAAGGTAATAGAGGAGAATCAGTAAACTTCTATTATATGAATTTCAATTATACGTATAAATTATTTAATATATCTCAACAAGTTTATATAAACATAAACAGAGTTCTACTGACATACTGACATACCATGGCTTCCTCGATATAAAGAAATAAATTATAAGTAATTAAATCTCTTTCACAGTATAATTGTGTATAATTTTCTCTATAAGTTTAAAAATTCGATCAAATATCATATTTCTTTAAACAAGAGATTATAAGTATGCCATAATATATTTATATATTTTACAAACATAACTTTTAACCCAAATTCTTCTTAGTTTCTTAAACTTGAAACATTTTATTAATCAAATATTATCTATCAAAAAACACAGGAATAGATAAAAATGTTAGAATGTCCTAATGTAAAGTTTAGTCAAATTAAATATTCAATTATGTATTATATTTATTAAAATAAATATAAAATTATACCTGTATAAATATGGCGCATCTGCACAATTTACATTATACCACCAATCACAAGCAAATTCCTGTTGATTGAAAAGAGTTCCATTAGTACAGAGAAAAGATGCACCTTGATGACCTTCACGACCATCATGACAAATGTGATATGCCTAAAACATAAGTAAATCTTATTTATCAAACTGTATAGTATATTATGTATATTACTATATAATCTTTAATTTATTCAAAAAGAGAATTATACAATTAAAATATAAAATAAAAAGTCAATATTATTGTAATAAGTTTGGAAAAAAATTTGAAGGAAATTATAATGCTTTTTTTCAAATAATATGTTTAGCTTGAATATTAATTTAAACTCCACCTGTTAACTCCATAAAATTGTAATCCACCTGTAAACTCCACCTGTTAACTCCACCTCCCTAAACTTAATATTAAGTAGTTTTTGTTTTTATACAATAATTTATTGTCATCAATTAGTCATAAGGATTATCCATCATTATTCTTAATTAATCATACTTCTATATCTACATCAATATATACATACATAATACTTATATAAGCCCCCTATAATTTAAAAAAATAGTAAATAACTATGATATTTTGTAAACAAACAGATTATTTAAAATTATATTATTTAAAATATATTATAATTTCATACAAAATTTGTAGCGTCTCTTGTGCAATTCCTGTACAAAGTACATATTTTTTCTTAAAGAGAAATGCATACTGCAGAAGTTATTCACATTGTCAAATTACGCAATTCGATTATTTTTATTATATTTTGATAAATACTATTATCTATATAATAGTTAATACTAAATATTTTGAAATACTATTTACAATATATATACATTTATAATATATTTAAAGTACTATTTGAAGTTTACAAAACTTTATATTTACAAACATAAATTACATTACAACTATTATTAGTAACTGTATTATAAAACACTCATAATTTAAAAAATTTTATTATATACGATAAGTATTATATTAAAAATGAAATTAAAAAATTATATTAAAAATGAAAAATATAGAAAGATTTTTGAGCGGGAGACTTTTACTATATGTTATTGTTTATGTTATTTTTATGTTTTGTTTATGTTATTGTTTATGTTATAAGCGCTAGAATTATTGCAATTTTACATTTGATTTTATTCACTTACCCATTTAAAAAATGAATAAAATAGTTAAAGTTTTTAGTTGAAAAGGTGTTAACAAATAAAAATGCAAAATATGTATATTAGTAATTGTGTAAAAAATAATAAAGTATATCTAAATTACTATAAAAGAACATTCTAGCAATTATTGCTACAAATTTTTGAGTATGTAATTAACATTATAAATTCGTTATCCACTTGAATATAATAACTTCAATAACCGGTTATAAAAAACAAATAAATTATTACTAAAAATTAAAATAAGTTAGTATAAGGTAAATATTTAAAAAAATTGTACTTATTACAAATTGTATAATCAATTATCAATTTGCGTTCCAAGATAATAAATAAGTGACTTTTTCGTTTAAAAATATATTAAATTTTTCATTTACTAGGATTGTAATTCCAAAACTAATGTAAGAAATGTATAGATTATATCCAAGGCTAAAAAGTGAATGTATTGCACTAAGCAAAGTATATTAAATTACCTGTACAACAATTACAGAACTTATTACGGTGAAAAATAATTTTGTTCAAGAACAGAAAGATACATAAATAAATAATACAAAGAAAAAAAAGATAATTAAATCATTTGTTAAATGATTTAAACAGTAAAAATTTTTGAACAAAAAAAAAAACTCTTATAATATCTAATTACTCAAACTGACTAATCCAGTATTATGTAAATTATGTTTTTATTAATTAAAACTATTTATAAGTATAATCATGTTAGTAATACTCATATCTCTCAAATACACATATGCTATTATAATATGATACACATATGCTATTATAAGATGATTTATAAAATTAAATAGATTACCTGACAACCAGTTTCCACATTCGCGTACATTCCTGGTACAAATGGAACGTGTGCGCAAGAAAAACTTGTTGGAGGTACGGTATGATACAGAGGAAAATCTATACCTGGAATTCCAGGAATTTTACTAAAATCTTGTTGCTTCTCTGACTTTTCGATGGCCTTTACGACAATCGGTTTATCAAATTTTACTATCGGTTGGAAATTTTGATGCTCATTATAATCTTCAACCACTATTGGATGCTAAACAAATATAACAGAATTACTATGAAAATAATGAAAATGTCGTTGTGCTATTTTGTTAATTATTTATTATAGAATAAATATAAAATATATAATAAATATGAAAATGTATAATACATGTATGTTATATAATAGTGTATACTGGGATTTCAAATATCAATGATACTCTAAAACTCATAGTATCAATGATATTATGAAATTATGAAAAGTCAGTTATGTATATTTACAATAAATTTATATAAAAAATATCTTATTTTTATTTGGCAATATTAACTAGAATTCGAATTTTATATATTTGTGGAAAATTGGAAGTTGCAAAAATATATACATATTACATATAATATCTATATATTTAAATATAATATCTATATCACATAAAATATATATTTTTTACTACTACTATTATATATATATATATGTTATAATAGTAATAGTAAAAATAATAATAGTAATAAATAGTAAAACAAAACTTAAGTAAAAACTTTGAAATGCATAAAATCCACATCTACAGTCATCAATATTTTATTTTACTTAATAAAAAAAAAAAATTAAGAACCTGCTTCATTACGAATATAAATAAAAAAAAATGAGAAAAAAAAGACAAAGATATGGTTGTACTGTACAGAGTGTTCGATTTTAATTTATAAATGGAAATTATTAATAAACTATCCATTATATAGAAAATGTTTCTTCAGATAAAAAACGAATGGGAAAGAAATCTAATATAATTATTTTTTCTTCGTAGAAGATGAACGCGTAGAAATCATATAAAGATAATATACATTTTTTTAAATGAAATTGTATAATTTTTAATTATTATTCAAAATATTTTATTGTATGTAATTTTATATTGTACGTGTTATTTTTATCTTTTGTACAATATGATCTTATGCGAGTTTTAAAATATTAAAATTAAAATACATCTTAAACTGATTAAATGATTTTTTATTATGAATAACATAATACAATTTTGTAGAAAATAATAAGCTACATCGATTAGCTTGTTAAAAGTTGTATGATTTCATTTAGAAACGGAGAAACTTATACCACCATAATATGATCTCTATGCATGCATCTATAGAAAAAATAATTAATAATAAGTCACTTTGATTATATTTTATATTTATTTATAAATTAAGAATTTCAGTAACAATCACTAATTTTATTATATTTGCTTGATATAATAATGAATTTTCTGATAATGGTTCAAATGTAAATATCTATTTATTTTTCCTGTACTTTTATTCGTAATTTGTTAACTATAATTTTCAATATTATTTAACATATTTACATTATCATATGTAGATAAAATTAAACAAACTTGGATATTTTTTTATAAAATTTGAATTTTCCGAAAATAAAAATTCATAAATATGTAATATGTAAATACTATTATATGTCACTTCTCATATACAATTAAAAATTTATTATCTTTTATGTTATATTTATATCTTATTGTTATATATATTTTTCAATAAAAGATGTAATTTTAATAATTTAAATAGAAAAAGACAAGTCAATAAAAAGCTAATAATTCTTACTTGTAGAGAGGTAGTGTATGTTATTGCCAAAAGAATGGCCAACAGAAGTATAGTAAAGCTACAACAGACTCTTGACATGTCTGTACTGTACGTAATAATAAACGAAACTAGTCCAGTTTTCAATGTGCAGTTCTGCTCCGACTCTCCAACTGCTCAAAAGATTATGTCACACAGAGGGAGAGAAAGTCCTGTATACATAACTCGAGCAAGGACTATTCCGACTTTATATGTACAAGATTTAATTGCTGTAAATACTGTCATGTATACTTTCACAAATCTACTGTACTGTCTTACTTTGTCCTTTTGTCTCCACAGTGGTATTTATCACATAAATTTACTAGAAAAAGTGCGAGGAAAAATTTATTAAAAATTTCAAAAAACACATCAATCTTCTTAATAAATATATTTTTTTGAAAATGTAATTTATACTACTCATAAATTTTACATTCATTTATATGTTTTCATAAATTACTAGTCTTGTGGAATTTTATGCTTCTGAAATTTTTAGATAAAATGAAGTTATGTGTAAGTTTAATGGTTTTTAAATCTCTTGTAAAATATACTTGCAGTATATTTTACAGTTTTTATTTATTATGTCATAAACCCAAGTTTTATATTCGTTTAATTCACGATGCTATCATATTAATTATAATATATATTAATATACTACTAATATACTATTATTAGTATTAATATACTATTTTTTCATTTAATTAGTTTTAATACATAAATAAAACATTCTTTTTATATTTCCCAATTCGAAAAATTAAGATTTACTCTCAAGATTTATTTTGATGCCAAATATTTGATATTAGCAAATATATATTAACATATTGTTCAAAAGAAATTGCAAACACAAAAAAAACGTGAATAGTTAAAATAGTTTACAATAGTTAATGATAGTTTTTCTTCTTATTACAAATGTAGCATAGTAGTTAATAATGCCATATGCATTGAAATACTTTTACATATATATATTTTCACGTATGTATATGTTTTATCTAAATTATATGATGTAATTAATTATTATTTAAAGAACATTATTTCTTACAAATGTTCTTACTCTTATGAAAAACGTAATATATTATAATAAAATTCGGAAATAATTAATGTTTTTGATAATCAATTAGCAAAATTAAATTTACTTTAATAAATAAAATACGTTGACTATTTTGATTAAAAATCAAATATCATAGAAAAGATTGAAGAAAATTCAAATATGTTTTTTACTTAAATTAATATTTATAATATTTAACTCCAAAACATGGAAAATATTCGTGCAAAATATTTTTCAAATTCATATATTATTATAAATTATAT